AAGGCAACCTTCGTATAGCTAACGCTTGCAGTGTCCGCGTTGCATGGACTGGCATGGACGCGCTGGTGCTGATCCATGACGCCGATTGCAGGTAAAACCGAAAAAATGAAATGTCTAAAACTCAAAGGAAAAAATGACTTTCTTTAATTTCCTCGGGGGTTGACACACGTCTTGCACACTCAGAGGAAAACGCCACTGCTATGTATATTGAACCTACACGAAAAAGGACTTAATAAACGAAGTGAAGGATGTAACGGACAGACTTATGTTAATTCATGTTGGAAAACATCTAAGCAACGAAAATTTCTCTGGGGGTCACATTCCTTCCAGGCAACCAGTAACGTTCGTGAGCATGACCTCTCATAATGCAACCTTTGTTGCATTTTGTTTTGTTAACTGTTGTAACAACTGAAAATTGTATTTTCAAAGAATTTTATTGTAACTTCATTGTTCATAAAATTATAACAATCTAATGTATTAAATAAATCTTAAAATAACTATTGACACCTACCAAACTACACATACTCAGAGCTGCAAAAAATATCCTTAAATTAAAACTTATTTAAAAAAATGAATTTATTTCATACACTTATTCAATTAATGGTTAATTTTAGGATCCTAATTATTTCTTAAAACATACATTGGATTTATCTTCAGACAATCACAGAAATTCAAATTCATTCAAATAATAAGAAAATTTAATTGAAAATCAATTTTTTCTTTTAAAATGTTCTTAACTCATTAAGATCCAGCATCTTTGTTTGAAGACATCCATTCAATTTATGTTCTGTTACAATTTATGTTTATAACCTGTTCAATTTATCTCATCTTTTCTCCTTTTTTACCTTTGTTCAATCTGTGAATATTATATCCTCAATAAACATCTATTTTCTGAACAGACCAAGTAAGGAATTTAATACTGATTTTAATGGGTTGAAATTGAATTTTCAAAAGAAGTTAGTAAGAAACAGCTTTCTCTTTGTGATTTTCTTTACAAACAGAACTCAGAAAATATTAAAGTCAATAGTGCCTAACTCCCTGGTTGAAGGGATAAATAGCAATGACTGACAGCATGTTTCAAGACAAAAGGCAAATTTTAACAGTGGATTACTCCAAATATTTGTAAACACTCAATGCCCAAAAAATGGCTCAGAGACGTAGTTGCAAAAACCATGCAAGAAAATACAAAAATTTAACGAAGTTATGTTCAGGAATGTGCCTCAGAAATTCTCTCCCTCTTCAACAGCTCTTTTAACGTTTCCCACCAAGTGAAATTCAGGTAATCTCAGTGCACATAATGCCAGATACGCCATGAATACTAGAGTTTGTTTCAAATAGCTTTCTTGTAACACCCCAATAGGTTGCTTGATACTTCCGAGAGAACTGCCTGTTTAATGTTTAAGCACCTTCCTAGAATTCAGGATTTGATTTTTCTTTCTTTCAAATATACAGAATCTTGATCTGAGATTAACCAAATGTAACTTTCAGAAATTAAAGTTGAATTACGATTTTTATCAATACTTTAACAGATATTCATGAGAAACATTTTTCCTTTTAATTATCCCATAACAAATTAACATGTATCCATAACATTTACACAATGATGTCAATTAAAAAAAAATCTTTAGAACCACCTCTAATATTTTTTGATACCACCAACGGCAAAACATCTTGCAAGAGAAGCACGAGCCACATATAGCAACATATTTTATGAGCAGTATATTTCTACCATACAAATACCCAATGGGGGCATAAACACGACAAAGGATACCTCTCACTTTTATTCACACTCTTCATAAAAGCATGATATACAGCATGATATATGAGCACCACTATCAGATCAATACTTGGCAAATATTTTATTCCAATAAAGAGCTAATGGTAAAAAGGGGTTTCGTCGTTGTAGAGGTCCATCAAATACATTGAAACATGAACTTTGTAGTCTACTGAGATAAGATTCCACAGTCACAGCAGGCAGAAACACTACTGCTGCATTTTTGGGAATTTGTTTATTCATAGATTTTGCCTGAAACAAATTAAATTTTAGTGTACCACAAAATGAAGCCATTTTAAAAATGAAAAACAATAAAGAGAAACTATGGAATAAAAGATATTAGTGGCAATAAGCTAGTTTAGTCATGCATTTCAAGTAACCTGTCATTATGGAATAATTGAATAATTTTGTTCATACCATTTGTGTTCTACAACGTAAAAGATTTATTTTTAAGACAGAATTCAGGAATGCAGAAGTGATTACATCTTCATGAGGAAATTAAAAAAGTATGTGCTCTAAAAAAATCAGTTCAATGTCCCAAAACATACATTGTTACTCATACATTGTCCTCAAAGAACTTGATATAAAATTATAATGAATACAGATGAGGATACTTCATTACACTTCTCTATCACTATGCAATTGATTTTCCCCCAGTTCAATACTGAGTACTTCATGCATTAAGAAAAAGTACATTTCACACAGAAGCATACCTTCCTAAGATGATGAATGGCAGCCTTTGCAACATAAAAAACTGTTTCATTTAAACCATCACTACTTTGTCCACGGAAGATCTGTTCATGGGAGACATCATTCTGTAGAAGAATATCTTGTGGAAGCGTAAGTATCTTGTGTTGTGCATTGTGAACTGTCCCACGAATCAAATTTGTGATGCCTTGAGCTTTCCCTAAATGACTAGCAACATGATCTGCATGAAGATTTTCTATTCCTGCAAAGGATAAAGGCTGAGAAAAAATATAAAGGTAAAAAAAGAGGGGGGAGAGCCTATGCTTCAATATGAAAACAACTCAAGTTCTGACAAAATACAAGAATGTTATAGTAATAACCACCATTATACCTGCTGATTCTAAAAGGAGATAGAAAATTGATGAAACAGAATGTTCTGCATAGTGTTCCATTGCAGCAAAGTTTAGAAATGTTCTTGATACAAGGTAGTTCTCTCGAATGGTTATTAAACGTTTCAAGTACCTCTTGGACAATTTATGGTTTTTAACTGCCTAGGTAAAACACAGTAGAACAATCAATTTCTCTACGATACCAAAAACATTGAAGAACAAAAATTAGGATGGCTGGAAACGGGTACATACACGATGTAGTTGCACAGCAACAGGATGTTTTGGTACTTCGTCTCTATACAATTTCTCTATGGTTTCTTCCCAAAATTTAATTCTCATCTGGCCAATATGTGTCTCACTCACACTGTCTTGCACTCTTGCTACTTCTATATTAAATGCTCTAACTGCAAAAGCACAAGTCCGAATTTGTTTGGGAAGAAGTAATGTGCTTAAGAAATTTTCATAGTCATACTTTCTGTGAGAAGAAATACATTAATTATTTGTCTATTAATTTATCATTAATGGTTTTAATTGAAAATAACATGTCAACCACAAAACAGAGTAAATACCTGACCAAATCGATGCAGTATTCTGCTGGAGAAGAATTAGCAGAGGTGCTGTAGCATACATGGCCACTTGATCTCACAAATCTCAACATTGAAATACTGGGAAACTGAATCAGTTTCATTGAAGACATTTAATTTTACTGTACGGGTTAATAATATGTATAGTGCACTCCAAATTAATCTACTTCACTTTATATAGTTACCACTTCGTAGTTGTTTATAATCAAGCCCGTATACGTGTATGTACTGATGCAATATGTGGGGACAAAAATACGGACTTGCTCAATGTAAGATAAACACCATACGATTTGCCATGCTCACCTCAATTAACTTATTCTAAAAGTGCATGGGATCACATACAGGCATGTGTCAAAAACACAACCGACTTACAAGTACGTCAATAACCTCTGCTTCAAAACATTACACTGTATACGATACAGAATCTTTCTTCACGACTGCTTTCTGCTCTTTAATACAAATAGTTTTGTCAAATAAAACGAATGTACGCAACATGAAACATTTATCCGCTGCATTATAATTATAGAACACTAAGGAGCAACCAATATTTTTCGCAAAGTGAATTAATATAATAATAAAAGCCTATGTCCATTAAGTATGGTAGTTACTATGCAATTATACCAAACTCGTCAACATTTCCCTCCAACCTCTCTATTCACATGGCAGGAATTTTTGGTTAAGAAGGACATTATTAGTTGGATGATGCGTGACCACGTTTCGCATATTTTCACGTTAACAAATGAAAGCACGGAAGGCGCATCTGTACGGCGGGAATACAGATTGCTAGTGGCTGTCAACATTGTGAGTGGTAAGTGGTTTCCCTGCGATATATAGATTTTATACATTGGTGTATGCTCGTGCATGGCGAACTTGTTAAGAACTCTTCTTGAATGACAACTTTGATTTTATTTGACAAATTTCAATGCGTCAAAACGAATTACATAATCAGGTGAAAAAAACATGCCAAATTTTACTTCCTTTCCTCCCTACATTTCCATGCGTTAATCCCCTTTTTACTTTAACAAACATTTAAAATGCTTTATTATTGTTAAAAATGCACCCCCAATCTCCTAAAGAAGCACTAATTTCTGCATTTTCCACTTTCTTACTTCCCTTCAATCTATCACTTTCTCCTAAATAGAAAAAAGAATGGAATCTAATTAGCTTTGAACTAGCTGCAAGGCAAAAAATCCTTGAACTTACAATACTTTAGGAAAATACAATAAAATTAAATCTCAGAATTATGACTAGCATGTATAAAGGAAAACAAAATGTGAAATATATCAAAAATTCAGTTAAATAATTTCATGAAGTTACACTCATTGAAATTACTGTGGATTGCCCCCTACCTTATGATTAACTTTAACGTATCAATGTGTATTCAAGAAACAAATTTTGGTATTAGTGACATGCTGCACAATGAGCTAACCATTAAACCAACTTCACAATGGTGTTCATAATACATAAAGGAATACTCTTCATAAGCTAATTCAATAAGAAAATATCCCATCATTTTAACAGGTTTCTAGCTTTTTATGTGGCAGATACAGTTAGGAAAAGGATGATTAAACATACAAATTATTTGATAAATTCATTTTCTCTATTGGAGATTATCAGGGAGCAGGAAAAATTTCATTTAAAACGCACCACCATCTCCAGATCATTAGCAGCTGACGTACTGATGCAATTAAAATAAAACTGACTCAGCCTGCTAATGGACAATATTGATTTACTGAAAACCAGTAACTAACCTGTTTTTGTTTTTTCCCCCTAATAGGTGGATGTCCTGAAAGTCCTCAGTGAACGCTTAAGACAAACCATTTTCGTAATAAATCAAACCTAATTTGCACTTATGAATCACTCTCAAACATTCTTGAAATATCTTCCAATTACATAATGAGTTGTTTGTAAAGGCAATTAAGATAATTTCTTCAATTACCCCACAAGATTAAATTTCTATTGTTGTCATTATTATAAGTAGCCAGAATTGAATAGTTTTATCTCATCTTCATTTACATAAAACAAAAAACTCGACTCACTGTCATGTTAAATGAATTTGTGATTAAATTTCCTTCTAATAAACCTTTGGGTCTTGAGAAAGTTAAATGACACACTTTTCATCAGAAGCTTACACAGAAGATGGCGTGCTTGACAATGTGGAACTTTCCAAGTATAATTTCCAAAACATTTTCTTCAACTCTCATTTACATTCAGCTATGTATTCAAACTGCAGCATACTATGAATACAACATACAAACATACAATCTAAAACATAAGTGCCAGTTAAACTATTTACAGAACTTGCAAACTGCACAAGAACTCCAATTGCACATATCTAGGCACAATAAAAGGGAATTCTGCACACACTTCCTTGGATTAAATTATTAGAGAAAGGTAAAAAAATACTAAATTTAGGAAATAAGGGAACTTTGTAATTTACATAATTAATTTTCACAAAACCAAGTTAACCAAAGTAAATACTGTTCAATATGAGGATAAGAACTAAATTCACTTTAATACACGACTCAATATTTTAAAAAAATCATTAGTTATGAAACAAGGACAGTACAAATTGTTTTGAGAAATTAAAAAACAAACAAAAACAAATGAACCATAAATTACATTTTTCAAAATTAGTAAGAATTCAATACTCCTACACTGTACCTTACAAAGAAATCGTGTCCCTGAGTACTTCTTTACCCAACTTGGGGCCACTCATGATTTAGACCAAGACTGATGTCATACACGGAGACTGGACATCACATAAAGAAATAGATCTATTATGCCAACCACGTATCATTTGCCAATATCAAATAAGAGGCTCAGTCTGTCAAAGAGGACTTCATTTAGATAACACTAAATATGTTTCTTCTACTCAGCATGTGCATAGATAAAAACTCAATACAACTGTTGAACTTCATGAGTATTGATTTACATAAAAAAAAACAAAAAAAAAAACACTTGTCCCCCTTTCATGCTGGTACACAAGAAACCTCATCAATGTTGCAGCTAGGATTGTGCACTTAAAAAGCACACAACACACTGTTTTTAAAATAATCAGCAAACAAACAGAAATGTAACTATTATGGTCCAGATTTTTGGTCACTACATTTGCAACAACTCACAGATTTTCACATTTTCTTCTTCGGCCCACACAAAAATCTAGGCCATACTCTTAACAGGAAATCTGTACTTGTTAACTCTCCATAATGCAGACACATATAAACCAAGAGATGTTTATAAATAGAACTAGAACTATTGGATACACACTCCATTCCAAATTTTGTCTTTGGCAATAATAAACTTTCATAAACAAATTAAATAAGAGTGACTGGTAATGAAGTAGTAAAAAATTGCATTCACAAGGTGTCAACAATCATTTGTGAAAAACACAATGCCTATTCACAGATATTTGTTCCAAATGCAAACAATAGTTCTTGGGATAATAACACTCACTCATGCATTACGTATGTAGCTGTCTTAAGAAGAAGGAAAATCCATCACACATGTTAGAGAATAACATGAAAGTTGTAGCCATAATTTGCCTCATTCAAGATTATTCAAAACCCCTTTGTATAAAACAAAGAGTAATGCACGGAATGAAATGCACAAATTTTGTATCATTTGTATATGCATTACCAACACATGTGCTTCTGACAAAAAGCAAATCAAATTTTTAAATGTGCAGCATTGTTTTGCTAGTTAATAAAATAAGATCACTTAAAGTTTATAAAAAAGTACAGAAGAAACAAATGGTACATAAAAAACTGAAAAGTAATGCTAGGAACTTTGGTTCATCTAATTACTATAAGCATTCCAAGTAAAAATTCCCAGATGTTACTGGAAGGCAAAACATAAGCATCGTATATTTCAAGGACTTAATCAAATACGGAAATTATACACCAGAATTAGTTTCAAACCCAATAAGCCAATTTACACACCTAAGCACACTCAACTGTTTTTACGAAATTAAATACTTAGGCACAATATACAAGATGTAATCCCTACTCATTACTCTGCACAACACACAATATTTACATTCACTGCTATTATCAGTGTAATAAAATAACAGAATCTATAATGCTTTTGTAAGATTGTAACACTGTATCAGATGCTAAAGCCTTCGCATATACTCCTGAGTGATACATACAACCAAAACAAATCGAATTATTACAGAAGTAGTAAATTATGTAAGAGTAAATACCAATGTTTCCCAGCAACAATTTGGAAAGTTGCACAAGAAAAGAAAATAACCATATTCAAGCTGGAGTGGCATACGTACTTATTAGTAGATGGTTTTCTTGAACAAAAACGCACATGAATATATCACACTCACACATCCTCTGTAAGGATATACATATTCCTTATTTTGCACTCATAAGCTCCACTGTAACATACACTAAAGTCCACTGATAGCACTTTTTTCACAAAAAAAAAAAAAAAATTATATATATATCAATAGTTAATGTTAAGCTTTATGAACTAAAATGTCAATGATCACTGTCTCCTTTCATTTCTTACACATGCATCTGAGCATTCAATGAGCTGGGAAGGTAATTGGGAGCTTGGGAAAAAGTAATGGTTCACTAGCCACCTGTAAACTGAAACAGTCTCCATCATCTGCAACTTAACATCAACATTTTCAGGGTCAATATACTATATCACAGTCATAAATCCACCATTTCCCTCAAATTTGGTAGTGTGAATACAATAATGTACTTCAAGACATTCACACAAGAAGACACAGTATGAGGTTGCAGAACAATAAAAAAGGATAAAACACATGTCAAATTTAGTAATTTATTTAATAGGAATAATTTAAATATTTATAGGTAATAACTTTACTGCAACAGGTGTGTTTCAGTGAACCATCCCTCTGCCATTACAATAAATGGAAAGGGATGATAGGATGCTTGACTCCGATGATTCAAGGAGCACTTGGAAGTCCATATTATCCACGCAATGAAGCTGGAACTTGAGACTCCAGAAGCATGAACTTCTTCAGAAGCTAAACACTGAAACATACAAGTACAAATTTTCAGCAAAAACTAATGATTGAAGTATTACAACAAATGTTACATCAACAATTTAAAAACTGAAAAACAGGAATTTTTGAGAAATTGAAATTTTAAAAAAATTCAAGTAACAACTGTAATAACTATATGAAAATAACTTAACGAGTGTCACAAACACAAGAAATAGATTTAGCACCAGGAATACCAACATAGCATTCTCACTAAATTGTCTTCATTTCAACAGAACCTGTTACAACATATAGCAGCTTAGAATATGATTTTTGTTTATTAACTTGGATAGTGGAACTTTGAGAAGCCTTTTATTCCTCTACTATACATGCAACATGCAGGGGAATACAGGAATGCACATAAACAATGATGTACACAGTTTACAAATATATTAATCCCATCTGTATAACAGCATGGACAAATGTGTAAGATGCCTTTTAATAACATCAACCTCTCTTCTACAACTATCAACAGCAAGATATAAACAAGAAAATAAAATGACTTTTTTCCATAATCATTTTCAAAACCATGTTTCCCTATTTCCTCTTTTGCTATACAAACTGCTATGTTTTTGAAACCTGTTGGATATACTGTGATATAAAGTGTAACCACAAATGTCAAAATAATCAAGTGTTTAAGAGATGCTTTCCAAAACTCTCAAGTTCATCAAATTAGCATATTATTTATGCAGCAAGCCTACTAAAGCGTTTCACAACAAACACCCCCTTCCCTACTGCCACGACACTGTAAACATTCCCTGGATAAGATAAATAAACACACATTTTGACTTCCTGAAGTTCCCGGGTACAATCAACATATTTTTTACTGGATTTTATTGCTCCATTTGTTTTTCTTTTTTCTAGGGAACCTTCACAAATGTAGACACAAATGACCTTACTATACGAGTTCATACCTGTTGATTTATTATTATCTCTTAACATCTTAGAAGGTCAACATTGCATAAAACTAACATAAAATCATACCCTTTGCCAATGACTATTTTGGCATTGCAACCAAAAATTGATGTTCTTTTAACATTAGGTTCTATCTTAGTACTGCAGTTGCATTTATTTTGAAATTATTGAATGTTGTTTTGTGGAACAAATTAATAGTATTCAATTCCATTTCTAAAACACTTAATCATAGGTTACATTATTGTTATGAACAACAGCCACTTGTCTCTTTTTAAGGAGAGCATAACTCCTAGAATAATTCTGGCAATGAAGATAGAGATAACAGAAATTACAAAACGTGAAAATCAAAACATCTCACATAATTTTTTGCGACATCTCTCAAAACGAAGCATTTATAAATTATGGATTTGGTGTTGGATGATCATTGGCAGAGGGTCACAAGAAGAGAAGTAGGAAATAGAGATTCAGGCAAGGTTTTTGAATCATTGCAGATCACTGCTTTCTTTAATGTCATCGATTCAACGATCTTAATTGCCTCCACGAGCGCATATATTTCTGTGGTATAAGTGCTGCACGAAGAGTCCGCGTGGCACTGTGGCAGTAGAAGGCACACCCTAAATTACCATTTTGGGGTGAACCACAGTGCACATGAGTTATAGCCGGGATACATGGATTTCGTCTCCTGGAATTCTGCCAGAAATGTACTGGGGGAGTTGAGGGTTTGAAGAAATGTGATAATCTCAGGTCTATTTTAGGCCAGAGAAGCTTCCAAGGGGGAACAAGATTTTAGGGGGATTTCACAGGGGTGGGGAGTTTTATATCGAGTTACTGGAAAAGCGTGTAGACAGATACCAGGAGAATGGGGTAACTATGGTCTGAGGGCGTACGATGTCCTGTGACTTGGAAGAAGAAGTGCTTAGTGCGAAGGAGTATTTATAACTGATATTTTCGCACCATATGAGCTGATTACAATACCTTGCCTTTGGCTCAGGGATGGCCCAACAGCTTCGGCCAAGAGATATTCAATACTTGTGCGGTCGCCTGTGCTGATCCGTAAACCAGCATTGTGTACGGTATTCAATGACCAGAGGGTTAATGGAGACGCAGACCCATAAACAATACACCCATAATCTAAGATAGGACGAATGATGGCCCTATATAGGTGCAAAAGACATACTCGGACTTTTATGCCTTCCCCATGATCTATCACTAAGGGCAAACAGTGACACTCAGAACTGATCCCTGGGGAACACCGTTTTCTAACTGGTGCCTTGAGAGTAACGTGTCACCAAGGCGACGCGGGAAGATCTTGCCAAAAGAAAATCTACTAGAAACGAAGGGAGCTGTCCCCTAAGGCCCCACGAATGCAAGGCGCAAAGAATGCCGTACCTCCAGATGGTGTCATATGCTTTCTCTATTTCGAAAACAATGGCTATTAGGTGTTGTCACAGAACGAAAGAAGTGGAAATCTGTGAGGCAAGGGAGACTAAGTGGTTCATGGTTGACCTGTGCTTCCTGAAACCACACTTGCCAAATCTTCAACTATATCTTCCGGTGAGGTGAAAGGACTTCGAACTTCGACTTCTTGTAAAAGAAGCTCGGAGATAGCCGGCGACCAACTTGTCCAACCTTAAGCCACACTACTTTGGGGGACGTACGGTAAGAAAGTGATGAAATATAAGCTCTTCAGAACGCGGAATTACTTTCCCGTTTGGTCAATCTAGCTCTGGATCGTGATCTTTTATAATTGATCAGACTATCCATGGTTGGAAACCTACTAAGCTTTGCCAATGTCCGTTTCCGTTCACGCTCAGAGATAATAGTCTGCATTCCACCATAGCACGGGAGGATCTGACGACTTCGGAATGGTCATGGAGGCTGCATGAAGAACGTCATCAGTACAATGGGCTTCCATAGTAATGATATCGTTTGGGTAGTTTTCCGATATCCGTATTTCTTTCTCGGATGTTTCCCACTGAGCTCGGTGAGTTAGCCAACAAGAACAGGCAACGTTTAGATCGGGA